AAAAAATTAAGCTTTTTTCAAAATTTTTTAGGGTTTAAAAAAAATGTTTAAAAAACTTGATACTAAATTCTCATATTATCATTTTGAAAAGTCATTACTTAAATATTCACAAAAAATTGCAACCGGAAGATTTTAATTTTTTCGTTTACAGTTTAAGAAACCTAAAATTAAAGTAAGTTTCTTTTTTTTTATTTTGTCAAGATTGTTTTTCAAAATTTATTTTGCACTTTTTTCTTCATTTAAATTTTTTTACAAGAAATTTTTTTAAATTTTTTCCAATATTTTGTGTTTTTTTCATATTCAATTCTTATAATATAATTTCGAATTCATTTTGCTTTCGCTATTATYAATAATGACTCCTCTTCGAAAACGTACGTTTTTGAAGATGAATCATGTCTTAACGCTCTAGATAAGCTTTTACTTTAGTAGAAATTTAATTACCTAATAATGGATTGTATATACATACATACATATTTAATAGGCTAAAATTTATTTAATCTTAAATTTATTTCTTTAAGAGGCTTTTTAAGTTTTTCTATAAATTCCAAATACTTTTCTTATTGGAGTTATTTTCAAAATATTCCAATTTATAATTTTTTTTTATATTAATTTTCTTTGCATTTATCAAAATTTTTTTTAAATTTACTTTATCGACTGCCTTAAAAAATTTATATTGAAATTTTTGAGGTGTCCAAGAACTTACATATTTTTCGGAGTACCAAGCAAAAAAAAATTAAATTTTTTCAACCCACCCTAATATGTTTTTGTAGATATATTCAAATATATTTTTTAGAAAGAATTTTAGGCATAAATAAATATTTGAAAAATAAAAATTATTTTTAAAAAACGGCTTTGCTACCCAAAACTCGAGTRTTTCATTGGTGATTGAAAGTATTTTTGTATTTCCACTTTCAGCTTTTTTGCAAAAAAAATATATTATCTTACCCATTTATAACAACATTTTTTTAGTGCTTCCAAACTTTTACTGACCTGCCCCCACTTGTACTCTTTTCCTCCACAGTACTGGCCGATGTCGCGCAGAAATCAGGTGAAAAATCCACAGACAGCACAGATCCAGATTACTTTTACGACGAGTCAAGCCCTGAGAATATAAAGGCGCCATCCAAACCGCCACAACCAACAATAACTCCGTATTTTGAGGAGGCAAAGAAAACTGTTTATGCCAAAAAGAACGCCACAGTGACTTTARCTTGTCCAGTGAAGGATTATGATGGTAAGTAATTAATGAATCGAACGAAAAAACTAAGGAAGTAAAGRCAGCATAACAATAAGAAGTTGGCACGCAAACACAAACGAGGACGATTTGATAAGTCAGTGAAGACATAGGCAATGCAATTATTATTTATAKTTTATATTATAAAAGTCATATTTCCAGTATTTTCCATTTCATAAACCTTTATGAAATCGAAAAATATTAGTTTCAAGTGTTTACAAAGCTACTTTTCTGCGCCGAAACCAAGGACATTCGTTACAAGTACTGCAATTGTACTATGTCTAAAATTCTAAGCGTTTTGTGCAAAAACAGCGAAGCTGAAAGGTTTCCAGTCCCATGAAAGAGAATATCAGRTCATAAAATTATAACGAAATCTCTCGAACCCTACCGACTGATCAAAATTGAACCGGATTGACAAACAAAACTGCACTTTTTAAATTTTTTTTATCCATTCGGTTTACGTGCAATTTAAATGTACCAGTCCGAGTTGAATTTGATCACATGGTAAGATTTCTGATCAAATTTGAGCCGGATTGACAAACGAAGTTGCACTTTTTTTTATGGATTCGGTTTACACTCAGTTTAAATATACCAGTTCGAGTTAAATTTGATCACAGGTTGAGATTTCAAAAAGTTATTTATTATTAAGATTACGGCCGCTCAGTTTGTACGGCAGCTATATGCTATAGCGATCCGATCTGAACGATGAACTTCTGAGATTGCATTATTGTTCCAGATAATACACCATGCCAAATTTCGTGATGATATCTCGTCAAATGAAAAAGTTTACCATACAAACGCTTGATACCGTTCTTTCAGTTTGTATTGCAGATATAGACTATAGTAGCCCGATATTGGTGATTCCATTAATTAACAGCTGATTGGAAAGAAAAAGTCATATGCAAAATTTTAAATCGATATCTCAAAAACTGACGAGCTAGTTCGGGTATATGTATATAGAGAGACGGACGAACACGGCTAAGTCGAATATGTAAAAATATTGTATATATTTTATAAGCACTTCAAACTTTATATAGCCTATTTAGGGTTTAGAAATTTAAACAAAAAAAATTTTCACTGTCTTAACAAACGTACCTCGTACATATACGGCGTGTARATTTGGATTTGCCTGCGCTCAGTTTATTTTGCTTGGTCGAGCATGATTCATTGATATAAAAAATTATTGCTTTCCTTACTAATCAAACATGCATATGTAGATACAACTCTACATAGCTGTGCATTCRTACTTATATAAGCATATTAATACATACATATGTTTAGTTAGGCACATGTGCATTCAACTAGCATATATACATTGATCTCCATTCATATAATACATATATTTCTCTATTTTGCATGAAAACTGAATATGTAAATTAATTTCGTAATAAACGCACATACATACCTACATACACACACACTTGTACATACTCTATGCACGTCCTCCATTCGCTTATGGCAATTCACACCTACTTTTCTGGCACACACCTTTTCCTCGGATTGATCTATGCGTAATATAATTTCCTTTCAACACCAACCTCTGCTGCACCCTACTTACCCACTTTCACACATACATACATACTCCATGTATGTATGTGTGTGTTTCCCAACCAACCCAGCTTTTCATCGACATTCAAACCAATTTGCATTAAAATATTTTAGCATTAATTAGTATTCCTATACAAATATTACAACTAAACATACATACATATGTATATATACATATATATATATATATATGTACATACGTACTTGCCCTTATTTCCTTTGATGCGCTCAAACTGATTTTTATTGTGATTTCTCTTCTCTCTACTCTCCACCCTCACCGCGTCGCTACACACACTCCGCCGCTCTTCATGCTCTGCGCTCTGCACTCTGCCAATAGAATCGCAACACCTAATTGTCTGGTTTAAGAACAACAACACCATTACCACTGGGCAGGAAATCGTCGCCGACGCAACACTCTATCATCTGGACAAGGACATGAATTTGGTTGTGGATCACGTGTCGGAGAAGACCGCAGGCGACTACTCGTGCACCGTTATGCCGCATAAAGTTAAAATGGACATACATTTGGTAATCGGCGAGGAGCCTGTGGCCGACAACAAACAGATAATGGTGAGCGCAAGCGCTCTACTCCTGCTCTCCACATTGCTGGCGCGAGAATTGAGCTTTGGCATTTTACGTTTAGATACATTCTTTTAGGCGCACAGTTCGTAAGCAGCTTCTTTTGTGAAATGCAAACAAAAAAAAGATAATATTGTAATTGTACCATAGCTGAGAATAATTGTTTTTGTTTTTATTATTTTTGATTTTTTTTTGTTTTTTTTTTTGTTTTTTTGTATTTTTTGTCTGCATTCACTAAATACTACAACTTGCATACTTTATAGCAGAAGACTTAAACCCACAGGCAGTTAGTATATAAATATATATAGTACCCGTTTATGGTACCGAATACCAAATAGGCAGGCAATTATATAATGTAGTGCATTTGATAGTATAGTACACAGTATAATAGCGATGAACACAATAGTATTTTAAACGAATATGTGTATGTAGGTATGTATGTGCAGTGAATTGGCTTGCAAGAGCTTTAAAACGCTGGTAAAACTATGAATTTGTTGTGAAACAATGATAYTTAGCATATTTCAAGTTTAAATTGCCCATAAATGGATTTTCATCGAAACGGCCTATGCGGTTTCATCAAAAGGACGAATTCATACTTTTTATAAATATGCTTGTTTTTTGTAAGAATTATCAAGAAAAAAATTTTTTTTGAAAAAAGTATAATTTTGATATTCGTCGAAAACACGAACTCATATTTTTTCGAAAATGCTTATTTTTGCAATGATCGTAAAGAAAATATGTTTTTTTTTTATTAAAAAATCAGTATCAGAAAAGTCTAATTTCAATTTTCAGCGAAAGGACGAACTCGTATTTCTAGAAGTATACTTATTTTTGTATTAATTAACAAGGAAAATGTTTTTTTATGAAAAAAACTTCGTTTCTTATTGGAAAATTTGAAACCGAGTTGAATATTTTAATTTACTGTAAACAACTCAAATAGCGCTCATATGTCAAATCTTTCTGAGTATGTATAACAGCAAAAATATCAAACTTTAAGATAAAGTTGTGAGTTGCCTGATAGAGATTTATACAGCTATATAACAAAAATAGTGTACGTCGAATCGATGAAAACTCATTTCTTTTTTTAAGTGCGCATTCTCGAATTGTAAAAAGTAATTAAAGACGATTTGCAACAGTTAAAAAAATAGCATGTATTTATTATACATATATATTTATATACATACGAGTATGTACATACATTATATAGATATTTATACTTTTAGAACGCAGAAATAAGTTTGATAAATTATTTTACTAGTGTAACTAGGCCTTTTTTCAAATAAAAACGTTTAAGAAACAAAATATTATACAGTTAATTTTATATGATTTAAAAAATCATTTTACAAGTAAAATGACAATGCGTTTGAATATATTTTTCACAAAAAAAAAAACATTTTTTGAGTTTCAGTGAAGAATTTTTAATTTAGGGAAATTTTTTAAAGTGGAGGGAATTTCTTTAGCACATGCTTTATTTTTGTAGCAAAAACATTTTTCTGAGTTTCAGTGACAAATTTTTAATTTAGGGAAATTTTTTAATGTAAGGRAAATTTTTTGTACATTCGTTTTTTTGCAGCAAAAAAATTATTTGTTAGTCATTTTTTACCAAACAGAACATTTAGGTAATTTTTTAAGTGTACTGGAATTTTTTTTTTCAACAAAAAAGCATTTATTTGCTTTCAGTTAGGCTTAAAAAATCGAAGTTATTATCAAAGTAGTTCGGTACATCCGTTCCAAAGAAATTTTTACAAATTACGAGTGTTTGCTGAATGAATTTTCAAATTTCGGAGGATATTTTCAAATACAGTCAAAGCTCTATTAAATTTAATTCAACTATAAATTTTCACATAAAAGAAATACATTTTTTTGGCTAAAAATCATATTTTCAAACACAGCGTGTTTTCGATGTATTTTTTCTAGGCTGCGAAAATATGCCGACTTTAATTTTCTTAGTCCCTCTGTAAATTTCTTTTGTTAAGAGGTACATTTTTATCCTGCAAGTATGTTCGTCTAATGGATGCATTCTTTTTTTTCCGCTGCAAATCGTTTTTTCTTACTCTGACCTTTCGCACTTATACATATTTAATTGTATAGCAAACACATTTTTATGCAAAAATATACATATTGACTTCAAAAGCAGAAGCTTATTCAAAGCTAAAATATTMACGGAATTATATGTATGGAATATACGAGTCAGCCATAAGTACGTAAAGTAGTTTTTGTTCTAAACWTTAGCTGTTGATTTAGTAGTTTATAATTGCATACATACATGTTTGGATATATATACACACACAYATATTTATTTACATACAAATATATATATACTATGTACTCGTTGTAAGGACTTTGTATTGTCGAAAGGAACTTGGAAACCTAAACAGCAGTTATAATAGAAATACTTAAGAAAGTCCAAATGAAAACGAAAAGCAAAGCTAAAGAAGACACATACATACGTATTGACATACATATGTACGTAAGTAGAAGAGGAAGCAGTGWAACCGAAAAGTGCCATTATTTTACACAGAGGTAGCGAGAAGCAGAAAGTAGTAGGAATATAGCAAGTAGTTTGGCGAAATTTTTTGCGAATGCTTTTGAGCAAGAATTTTTGAGAAAAAATTCAATTATTTTACAAGAAACAAATTTTCAGTAAAAAGTGATTAGCAAAAATAGTTAAAATATTTATTTTTGGGGTGAATAAAATCAAGTATTCTACAGGAAAAAAATTGTCAGTGAAAAATTATTAGCAAAAAATTTAAAAACACTTTTAAAAAGAAATTCAAACATTTTACAAAAACATTTTTCAGTAAG